TACAAAAACATTTGCTCTCGGGATATTACTGTACATTCCGGAGACGTTATTATGAATTATTCTTTCACCCGAGGCGCATTTTTGTTACTCATAATTAGGATTATGTATTTTCCTCATCTTTTGTTTTCAGTTATAATATAAATATGTATAATAATGACTTTGTTATTATTTTTTGTACAATCATTTTTATACGTTGAAATAGAAGTAATCTTTATTGAAATAAACTTAATATAAGCACTTTTGAATAGTCAATTTTTTTATTCTACCGCTTATTCGGAATGCAGATTCATCACAAGAAGAATAAGCAAGAAACTTGTGTGTTGCTCTTTTAAACAAATATTGTGCTCTAGATACATGTTCGATATACGAACATTTGTTTTAATCAGTATGATTATTTCTATTAAGAAGCTGTTATACAGTTTAATTTCATGTGTCTTTTAAACAAATATTTTACATTTGCATCAGTTGTTTAGTACTCATAATAAAAGCCGAAATCAGAGTGCTGTTACTTGTAGTTTTACGTATTGTTACTATTATTTTTGAAACATGCTTTGAATAATGACTCTAATATTTTCTTTATTCTATTATACATATAAACCTTTCAGAGTTTCTTTTGGGGACACCGGGACTCGTAATTATGAAAAGGGACAGTCCACCCATTTCAGAGACTAGCCGGAACAAACAGACAGACGGACAAAAATTGTAAGAAATGATATTTTGGTGTATGTACCGTATTTATATTCATAAGCATGTACTATTGAAAACCATCTATTAAAAAATCCGCTTCAAAATCCGTTGCGTAGTTTTAAAGATTTAAGCATACATATGGACAGACAGCAATAGGGACTTTGTTTTATACCTGTGATGATAGTGATTATAATGTAATACCGTGTCTTGTTTACGTGCCCTAGTTTTATCTAACTATCTATCTACTTTTATTATTATGGCAACCCGGAGAACGAGAAAATCAAGGACTCCCAGATATTAAGTATCAAGGGTAACGCTCGCAATTGTCTTAGAAACATAATAATAATAATAAACTCTTTATTGTGGACATAGATAAAATACAATAAAAAAAAAAAATAGAAAATCTTCACGATTTTCTATTTATTGTTTTTCAAAAGGCGGTCTTATCGCTATAAGCAATTTGTTACAGACAACCTGCAAGATAGGACTAACATACACAGAACAGGTAGATGGCACTCACAAGACAGTATAATTATCTAACGAATTAATAGACATACATATATATAAATGAACTAGCTGACCCGGCGAACTTCGTATCGCCTAACTGTCTATTCGTTATTTTTTTAGTTTATTTAATACTTATTCTGCTATTTGGGCCGTCGGGTCAGCTAGTAAGATAAAAGAAAGTTAATAAGTCAATAATTACATTATGTTTATATTGTTTTTTTACATTGCACTGAATAAAATATTTTTCTTTCTTTCTAATAATGAAAATTATAAAACAACAAAAATTATATTAATAGTCAATAAAAAAATACAATTTAACTTTCTTTTTATTATGATATCGATTTATTATGTTTATTTTTATTTTTACTTATTCGAAATTAAGTTTAAATTTATTTTTATTGTAGTACTTTATGATACGTGACTAAGGGCAACTTCATCAATAGTAGGTGCATTAAAATGTCCTGCTAGTTGCCCCACAAGAGTTTTATCAGCTCTAATAACAATTGTGATTATCATAATTATTATTAAATAAATATACATACATATATACAACATGTTGGAAGATTTCAGAGTTAAATAGGAAAAAATGAGCTATAGATCTTAGACGATTTTTAAATATTGCATGAGATTGAGCGGATCAAATGGACATACTGACATAACATTAACTAAACACATATACAGTGTTTCATTATCATCTACTTCTGCCTTATCCCATTTATTTGTGGTCGGCGTTATGTTTTTCTCTTCTAAATTAACTGTATATGTGTTTCATTATCATCTACTTCTGCCTTATCCCATTTATTTGTGGTCGGCGTTATGTTTTTTCTCTTCTAAATTGGGGAGCGATTTAGTTCTGCCGCTTATGCGGTAAGAAGAATTAGACAATTAACAGATGTGGCAACGGCTAAACTTGTCTACTTTAGCAATTTCCATAGCATTATGTCATATGTTATTTTGTTATGGGGCAAAGCAGCGGATATAAATACAATATTTATTTTACAAACGAGGGCCATTCGCTGCATGCTGTATGGGTTCCAGGGAGTCTTTACGAGAGTGCTTTAAAGAATCCTCACCGTTGCTTCTCAATACATTTATGAAAATATCACGTATGCCAGGAAGAATATAGACAGTTTCAAAAGAGTTAGTGATTGCACTAATAAAAGCTTACGTAACAATAACAAACTGATTTTACCTAAATGTCGTTTGGCTAAAGTTAGTAATTCGTTTTATGGGAATTGCGTAAGGTTTTACAACAAAATACCAGAGTCTGTTATAAATCTGCCAGAAAAAAGATTTACATGTCATATAAAACAGTTCCTTTGCAAAAAAGCTTACTATAAAATTGAATAATTATAATGTTTTTATAGAAAAACTTAAAATCCATAGCACTGACAATATAATCTGATTACACTAATAATGAGTGCGTAGCGATTTCTATGTTGATTATCGCATGTTTCTTACTTGTTATACTGTAATTATTTATATAAAAAAACATCTATTAAAAAGAGCAATACACAAGTTTCTTGCTCATTCTTCTTGAGATGAATCTTTATTCCGAATGAGTGGTAGAATCAAAATATGACTATTCAAAAGTGCTTGTATTGAGTTTATTTGAATAAAGATTATTTCTATTTCTATTTCTTCGTTTATCCCTGTTCGTAGCCATCTCGGTATTTCCTTCCTTTCTTACCGTATAATTTTTCACACAGTCCATCCATCTCTTTTTGGCCTCTGCCCTTATAACCATCCACATTCATATGTAACACCTTCCTTAAAAATATACACAGTACCTATACAATCGTTACTAATATTATAAATGCAAAAGTACTCTGTCTGTTTGCTTTCACGCCAAATCAACTGAACCATTATAAATGAAATTTGGTACACAGATAGTCAAAACCTTGAGAAAGGACATAAGCTACTTTTCCTTCGAGAAAAAAAAGGGTTGAATGGGGAGATGTCAGTTTGTATGGAAGTATCGTCATATTAAAAGCTAGATGCGTGAAATATATAGTTTAGACTGTTGATTAAATATAAATAAACGAGACTAATTGTTAAACCTCGACCAGATAGAGTCTAATCACTCCTCTCCATCCTAAGGTTACCTGGAAAAAATCGCTATTTAGCGATAATATATATATATTCTAAATACATACATATTATACATAGAAAACACCCAGACCGATACAAACAATCATACTCATAAATATAAGTGTTTGTGCCGTGCGAGGAATCGAACCCGCGATCATCGGACGTAAAGCGGTGTGCTAGATCGCTAGACCACCGAGGTCATCAAGTTTCTTTAATGTTCATTCACTATGACAATCCATATTAGTGGCGACACTTGATGTACATATTAATTTATGTAATTATTATATCTTGGAGGAACAATAAAGTGTTTTATAATATTGTATATGTTCGACGCTCTCGGTGCTGTAGCGGTTTAGCACACTACTTTACTTCAGATGGTCGCGGGTTCGATTCCCCGCACGGCACAAACATTTATTATCATGAGTATGATTGTTTGTATCGGTCTGGGTGTTTTCTATATATATTATTATGTAGGCATTTCCAAAAAAAAAGTATCTAAGTATTTATATAAGTTGTCTAGTACCCAAAACACAAGCTCTGCTTACCATGGGACTAGATGGAGCTGTGATAGTTGTCTAGAGTTATTTATTTATTTATTATATGTGCTTTTTTATTATGTATTTTGTTCAAAATCTACCCTGTACCATCGTAAGCACAGATTATTATATTAGAGTCCGTTAGTTTGTGTTCCCGCGTCTTTCCTTCCCCTCCCTTACCTAGTACTGAACTGACCGTACCGCGGCCTTGACGCGCGCGCGCATTGTGTTGTGAATTAAAATAAATTACAACTGTGTTAAACCTACTGTGAATCCTACTGTGAAACCTACTGTGAAACTGGAATGCTAGCGAAGATATCTTCGAGACCCTGAAGCCCAAGAAATCCGCAGAACCATACAGGTACGTGACAGACGTTTTTCCCTATATATATACATAGTACTTTCCCTAACATATTTAGAGTATTTAGATATACACAATTCGCGACACATATAATTTCACCTCATTACATTTCTTTAAACAATAAAATCAGTAGTGTGGGAGTAGCATTCAATCCATGCGATTTTATTTAACAAAACTGATCAGTGCACCAGTCTTCAACCGTATTACCGTCTTGTCACAGATCTGTGCCCGTAAAACCGTAACATTTTTTAACTAATTTCATCCTTATTTAAAAGAAAATAAGATTGAAACGCGTTTTAAAAAATACAATTGGCGCGAGCATACCGCCCCTTTATTTTCGATCGCTGCGACACACGACTGACATTCGAAATGATAAATCGTATCTAAAACTCAGCTGCCTCAAAAGTCCTTAAAATTATTGTTGCATAAAATTACAATTTGCGGTATCTAGTGTAGAGATGAAACGGATATCCGGTATCCTTATCCGGCGGCCTTAATACTATCCGGCCGAATACCGGATAACTACTATTAAAAAATAAAATATATAAAAAATCTAGGTAATTTTGTTTTATTTTAAGTAATTATTTGCTTTATTTAGTTAGTCTTAGTATTACATAAGGTATAAATTTAGTTTTAGTTTTAATATTATAATCACTCAATAGTAAATTACTATTATAGAAAGAAAATGAATTTATTAGTTAGATAAGTTCCGCCAGACATCCGGCTATTCGGTCACATGGTTGGCCGAGTATCTGGCCAAACTGCTATCCGTTTCATCTCTAATCTGGTGGCATGGAACTGAAATCAAAAGTACTGACCTTTCTCCTTTCGGCGGCGTCTGTTCCTGAGCTTTGACCGGGAATAGAAGCTCGTCCACGGAAGATGTCCATCACTTTTGCCATCGCGCTGGGACGACGAGAGGCCGGTACCATTACAGTATGGTAGTACTGGTGGAGAAAAATATTCTTCAGTCATTATCTGCTTCTTCCTTATACTATTTGAGGACGGCGTAATATGTTTTTCTCTTCTATTCATCCCGGTCTGTCATCTCGATATATACTCCCTTTCCTTACTTCCCTCAAGAGATGGATGGACTGTGTGAAAGATAATATGGTAAATCATCTTTCACACAGTCCACCCATATCTTTTTCGGTCTTCTTGTACCTTATAACTAAAATATTGTTTAGAGTTTCAGCGCTATAGTTATATGATTTACCACAAAACCCAGGCCAGGCCCATGTTTGTTACCACCTACATACATACGGCTACACAGATTGTTTTTACCGTGCGTGAAATCGAACCCGCGAATATCGGAAAGAAGGCGATGTGTTAAACCGCTAGACCACCGAGGTCAGCTAGTCAAGAGATTTACTTTGCATTACATTACACATAAAATAGAAATAACTAACAAAATGGTTACATAACGTGTCTCAATTAGGCTTCGCCCCTATCCGATATTATCCGAAACTTTTATTTCGGATTCGGTTACGATTACAGATATTGTTTTATATCGGATATCCGATAATTTCGGTTACGGTTAAGGAGCTCCCTAGCATCTCTGGTGTTTTCTATATATAATATGTATGTATGTATTTACAAAAAATATCTATATATTCATATCAGTTGTCTAATACCCATAACACAAGCTAGGTAGCTTAACTGGTGGAGAATAAATATTATTCAGAATCATCATCTGCTTCTTCCTTATCCCATTTATTTGTGGTCGTCGTAATATGTTTTTCTCTTCATTCATCTCTGTTTGCAGTCATCGCGTTATTTACTTTCTTTCTTACCATATCATCTTTCCCACAGTCCATCCATCTCTGATTCGGCCTTCCTCTGCCTTTATAAATAAACTAGATGGTGCCGTGACAATTCAAATTAAAATATCTTTATCCATGTAAGTCAATTGACCTACATGGATAAAGATATTTTGAATGACTGACGGTAAATTTGACATATCATAAGAGTCTGTAATTACAGACTCTTATGATATGTCAAATTTACCGTCAGTTCGGAATTATTTCGAGATACTGACAAAAAACTCAGCTTGTATTCCTTTCAAATAAATGTTGTACATGTTTACAATACTATACATTCATTTTTAAATTAAAATTTTGAGAGAATAAAGTGACCACTAGCATATGCCATTGCAAAAGCAAATAGTCTAATCAGTATTCGTAACCCGAATAGACCAGTCCTCACAAGCAGCACCCGTTCGCGAGTATGACGAATGAGCCAGCCATCATTGCACTCAACCCTGTTAGATTGTCTGAGAATATATTGAATTGTCGAAAATAGTAAAAATCTCTAGGCCGGTGAGGTATTTAATGAATACAATGGTATTTAGTTCACCTTGGTATCACTACTGGGGTGAGGATGAGCAGACCCGTCCTTTGACTTCACTGACGCAGTACCAGAACTCGAGGCAGTCTCGTTTTTAGATGAATCCGCCTTCGACGAATCGCCTGACTTGCTCGAATCTTTACCACTCGAACCCGATTTCGTCATACTCTGAAAGAATAGAATAGAATAGAATAGAATAGAAAATACTTCATTCAAATAAACCTACATTGAAGCACTTTTGAATAGTTATCACATTTTTTTTTCAATCTACCGCTCTTTATGTAATGTTTGTGATCACAAGGAGATAGAATAGAAAATCATTCATTCAAATAAACTTACATTGAAGTACTTTTGAATAGTTATCATTTTTCAATCTACCGCTCTTTACGTAAGCTTTGTGATCACAAGGAGAACGAACAAGAAACTTAGGTCATAGACAAACGCGTAAAACAGCTACGTATATATAACTAGCTGTCCCGGCAAACGTTGTTTTGCCATATAAATTAATAACGCTATAAAAAAATAGGGGTTGACGATAGAAGGATGAAAATTTAGGAATGTATGTATTTTTGTATGTTGTATCACAAAATAATGGAAACTAAAAAATTTGTCTAAAAAATAAAATAAAAAATTTGGGATGGACTACCCCTAACATTTAGGGGGATGAAAAATAGATGTTGGCCGATTCTCAGACCTACTCAATACGCTCACAAAATTTCATGAGAATCGGTTAAGCCGTTTCGGAGGAGTGTGGGAACGAAAACTGTGACACGAGAATTTTATATATAAGATTATGAAGAGTTGGTGCATAACACTTTTAGGAGTATCCAAATATCTGTTGAAGCGAAAAGATGCTGGAATTCTCTGAATTTCCTGATGCTTAAGAGTTAGTTAATTTAAATGTTTTATAACATTGTTGTACAGTATTGGATGAAAAAATTATTGCTTTTAAAAGTTCTCTAGGCGTTTTGCTACAATATCTCGGAGAAAAGTGTAGTTACCTTCGAGTTAACGTAGAACCAATAATTTCTAACAGTACGTTGTAGGTATACATTGATTTGTACAGTTGTAGTCACGACTTAAATAATTAAGCCAATTTCGATTGTGCTTTCCACAAAACGTAGATATCGTGCATAATATTTTCGCGTTTCGTGACCCAGTTAATGATAGAATAGAATAGAAAATCATTTATTCAAATAAACTTACATTGAAGCACTTTTGAATAGTCATCACATTTTTTTTCAATCTACCACTCATTCGGAATGGTGTCTCATAACAAGAAGAACGAGCATTCTTGCTCGTTCTTCTTGTCTACACTTGCGTGTAGCTTCTTTAAATAATTTTATTATTACTTTACATTTTTAAGTTTAAGTGTGCGAATACAAACTACCAATTAACACTAATTCCATTAAATACTCAAATAGAGAAAATATTAAAAAAACAGCCAACTGGTTGTAAGCAGTTTTGCCATATAAATTAAAATCGCTATTACAAAATAAGGGATTATGCTAGAAGGGTGAAATTTTAGGGTTGTATGTATTTTTCAATCCTAAATAATAATAAAATCAAAATAAAATATTATGTCGAAAAATTTAAAAAATACATATTTAGGGGTGGATATCCCTTACCACTTAGGGGTAAGAAAAATAGATAGTAGCCAATTCTCAGACCAACTGAATATACATATAAAACTTCATAAAAATCGGTCAAGCCGTTTCAGAGGTGTATGGTAACTAACATTGTGACACGAGAATTTTATATATAAAATATATTAAGATGATGTATATATAAGCTACATTACTGTAAAGTTTCTTAGAAATTCGTTCCATAGATTTTGCGTGAAAGATTAACAAACATATTATAGCCTATTTTAACAGCAGTCTAGCGGTAAAGGACACCTCTTTTCATCCGATGGTCGCGGGTTCGATTCCTCGTACGGCACAAAAATAATCATACTCATGAATACTAAACCGCGACCATCGGGAGTACGGCGGTGTGCTATACCGCTAGACCACCGACGCCGTCATATAATATTTAGATTGAAGCAAATTGATTATTTTCTATATTACACCTTTCAATAGATCCTAAAGAAATTCATTTCATTTCATTACTCCGAACAATCAGTGATAGAACTAGTATCAAATATATCTTATATTTGATACTAGCTATACCGGCTACTTCGTCTGCGTGGAATTTTATTTTATTTTTCTAAAATAAAAAAAAAATCAGTAGCCTAAGTCACTCCATATACATCAGCTACCTGCCATTAAAAGTCCCGTCAAAATCGGTTCAGCCATTTCAGAGATTAGCCGGAACAAACAAACACACAGACAGACAGACAAAAATTGTAAAAAATGTTATTTTGGTGTATGTACCGTATTTACATTCATATGCATGTAGTAAAAAACGGTTATTTCAATATTCCAAACAGATACTACAATTTTATTTATACGTATAGATGGATCATTCACCTGAACAGCGGCTCTGACTTGCTTCATGATGGACGGCTGTTTCTTTGAATCGCCGCGGGATCGAGACTTGAACAAGTCGAAGAGCGCGGGTCTACGGCTCACCCCAGATGTACCTAGAAATTTACAAAATCAACGCGTTTAATTACAAACATATGTATTTATTTATGATTGAGCTGGTATGGGCATGTTATGCGGAGGAATGAGGACCATGTCTTATGGAAAGTGTATAATATGAATGTGGATGGATGTAAAGGGAGGGGACGCCCTAAGAAAAGATGGATGGATTGTGTGAAAGATGATATGAATAAAAGAAGAGTATGTTTAGATATGACGACTGATAGAGATCAGTGGAGGAGAGTGACATACTGCGCCGACCCCAAGTAATGGGATAAAGGCAAGGCAATGATGATGTATTTATTTAAAGCACAATCTATATAGGTCGCAGTGCTACAGGTCCAAGCACCAGACAATAGCCCAAACATCCTAATAAAAAAATGTACTTTTAAATAAAAAATATTATCACAATCTTACTAACAAACAGACGTTCTGTCTTAGTGATTAGACGAGCTGTAAGACGTGCCAAATTCAAAATGAATTCTTTTCTTAAATTTTAGTTCCCTAAAATTCGAGAGTTTTATCATATTACTAGAGGGTATATTATTGCGTGTGAGCGCTGGCCTCAAGAGGGCCGCAAGGCATTGTCGTTGATTCTTTTTTTTATGTCAAAGATTTGGTTGGCAAAAAAAACATGTCTGTTTTAATGCGAAACCTTTTACGTGACTTTCTATCATAAGAGTCAATAGATGAAATGTAATCTAATACACATTTCTGTATACCATTTTAAACTGTGGCTTTAATTTCTATAGTAATGGTCACAATACAAAACCTAACCTACCTTTCTGTATACTATATTAGTCTGGGGTCAAAGTGTTTAATGTAGAGATCATAATACATAACCTAACTTAAACCACCTTTTTGTTTAGTATAATATATTATTCTGAGGCCATAATTTTTACTATAAGAGTCATCATCATTGCCTTGCCTTTATCCCATTATTTGTGGTCGGCACAGTATGTCATTCTCTTCCACTGCTCTCTATCGGTCGTCATATCTAAACATACTCTTCTTTTATTCATATCATCTTTCACACAATCCATCCATCTTTTCTTAGGGTGTCCCCTCCCTTTACATAAGAGTTTTACTGTAAGAGTCGCAATACAAAAACTAACCTAACCTACCTTTCTGTAAACCATTTCCACCTGGGGCTTCCATTTTTATTGCAATGGTGACGATACAAAATCTCGCATTACCTACCTTTCTGTATACTATATTAATATTAGATCAAGTTATTGAGAGACAGAAAGGAAATAAGTATAATTTTATACAAAAAGATACATAATATCAAATAAATAGAAGTAATGTGAGTGGTAGATAAAAAACAAATTGTTATGACTATTCAAAAGTGCTTAAATTAAGTTTATTTGAATAAATGATTTTCTATTCTATTCTATTCTAAAATGATCGAGCTACCAGTATCATAAAATAATTACTTCCAGTTAAGAGTTAATGAACTACATTGTTGCTAGTTGTATTCAAATATATATGTATGTATGTATGTATGTAATCCTTATCAATATTATAAATAGATAGAGAAAATAACTCTGTCTGTCTGTCTGTTGCACTTTCACAGCGAAACTTTCTTAAGGGTCTTCAAAACGGTTTCTTAAGGGTCGGCAACGCGCAAGTGATACCCCTGGTGTTTCAGGCGTTCATAGGCTACGGTAACCGTTTACCATCAGATGGGCCGTATGCTTGATTGCCACCATTGTAGTATAAAAAATAAAACTACTAAAACTATTTAAACGAAATTTGGTACACATATATGTAGTCTCGAGTCCTCGACCCTTAGAAAGGACATAGTAGGATAGTTTTAATGAGAAAAAAGAGTTGAATATCATATTCCCATATGAACAGTTATATGGATGTATCGTCATATTTGAAGCTTGAAACTTATTTAGTCTGTGGATATAAATACATGGATACTTTTTTTTGTAAATAAATACAATCATACTCATGAATACAAATGTTTGTACCGTACGAGGAATCGAACCCACGACCATCGGATTGTAAAGCAGTGTGCTAAACCAATAGACCACCGAGGTTATCACACCGACGACACAAATATTTATAAATATGGTATTCAATGTTTTCAAAATATCTACCTTAAGGGGGCGAAACAATATAGGGTATGAAAGCTTGTAAGGAAATACGTCACTTAACCTAGCACAATGAAACATTTATTTCTGTATTGTTTAAGATAGATTACTATATATTTCATGTGACTATTCCAAGCGGACAAAGGGGGCACTACTAGTTATTTTCATAAGTATATCTGCAATGGTAAACAAACAGACGACCCACCAGATAGAAAGTGGCAACCATCGCCAGTATGGAGCCATGTACCAGTATGGAGACATCTTGTACACTACAAGTGGAGATATTGCGATTTCTGATAATTTGTGAGAAAAAAAATGTCAACCCACTCCAACTGTGGGAATAGGAATTATTAGTAATGAGGACTGATGATCTTATTGGGCCTGGGAAACAGCAAGTAGTGAAGGTGAGTGTTAATGCACACTAAAAGAGCCTGTTAAACCTACACCCGTGTCACAAGTCATGGGCGCTACTTGGGGTTTCTCTTCCGGTAGCCGGCTTCAAAGCCTAAGTCGTCATTCTAATTAGTGAATCTTACAGTACTCATTAGCGATAATTAATATGTTTTTTTGGGGAAGGGCATTATTAATAATGTGGACTGAATGCAATGTACCTTGTCAGGGTGACCTCCACGCGGTTCTCTTGAAACCATCGTAATAAATTCTTGGTGAATTTGTCAGCATGGGCTGTCTGACCTGACCTTATGCCACTATCATCCTCGGTCGTACCGTATCGCTAGCGCAGGCGGGTGCACCATTCCATTATTATACATAAAAAATCCACCAGTAACTGGTGTCGTCTATAGACAGATGTATTCTAGTTCACATACAGACAGATGTATTCTAGTTCACATACAGACAGATGTATTCTAGTTCCACATAACCTATTTAAATATGAGCTTACCGTGTATGGTCTGCTGATACATGGGATGTGTCTGCCCCTCGTCTGCAGAGCTCCGCCTCTTCCTCTCGCCAACCGACTGCGTGCTGCGAGTTATCGCAACATCCAAACGTTGTTCTGGAATTGGGAGCAATCCTTCATTAACACTGTTTCTGTTACTACGAATACATTTCATAGTCAAGGATCTTTAATGACAATTATGTAGAAACAACTATGGCTGATCCGTAGAAATGTATATTAATCAGATGACCAATAAATTTAGTGTTGTCGTATCAAAGTTTTGATTAATCAGTTTATATGTAACAAATATATTAACGCAGCCAGTCTGTACACATATTTGCAGGTCTATACTAAGTAATCGACTGATGCATTACGCGCCGTATATATATATGAACTTAAATAGGTAAATTGTTAGTTATATCTTTAAACGACTCTGCCCTTTGACAAAATACATAATATACTATAACATAATACATAAACTATATTAATATGATAATATAAAAACAAATTATACATTAAAAGAGATTACACAACAATAAATTGGAGTCAAAATATTAGATGCCGCTAGTTTCTCTTGTATAAATTCATCATATTAATAATTTATTAGGATTTGGATGGTATACAAAATATCATTCAAACTAACACACAACTAAACATTTCTGCAAACTATAATTTTCTTTTCATTCAATTCAATTTCAAGTATATCTTTTAGTCACTAACGCAAAAGTTTCTGGCAATAACATTTTTTCCCATATCACCCAATTCTCTCGTAAAACTCTACTTTACGTCCTCATTGCAAAACGTTATTTAATATTACTATGACATTCTAAATTCAATACAGAATTATCGAAAATGGGTACATACCTAATTTTGATGGGTTGTATTTGCTTAATTGCAAATTCTTTGCAACAACAACAGTATTATAGTTATTACGGCAATCAACTGACACAGTTAAATATTAACATAATCATAAAATTATACAACACTGTAACGAATAAATATTATCACATACCTAGTGCAAGTAATAATTAACGCATGATAATTTAATATTATTGCATTGAATGACAAGACACTGTCTACTGAGAGTATACAATTGATAACAGCAGCTTCAATAAATAGGTGTATATTATTAAATGAAAGGGTTAAATTATTGTTTAAGCCCCACTATACATATAAATAGCTGGCCGTTAATAAATACTAATTAGTAAGCTAACATAAATAGAATAAAAAAAAAAGTATACTTTCGAGTCCGCCTGTTTTTTTTTTTATAAAACAGACGTGCGTTCTTGGAATTCTTGTTGTGAAGCACAGTATCAGTGAACCTTATTGCTCCAGTGTTCGCACCTATTTGATGATTGATTTAAGATTTAACGAAGCTTGAATTTGTGTTTTGGCATATCAACAGTTCGCCGGATTAATATTGCATTTCGTGCTGCCCTTTCGTAGAAATGCAATTAGCATTGTAACATGAACATGTAGGCAGACCAAACTCTATAACAGTTGGCTTGATTCGCATTATTATTCCGTAAATATCTTGTTACAGCTAATAGCCAAATCCATCACCGATCATTGTACTGGTCATATTGTAAACTATAACTTTTACCCGCTACTTTCTTCGCAGGCATATCATTGATCAGGATAATAACTAGTGTATTTCCTTTTCTATTACGTTTGTTAAGAAAAGGCAAAATTACTGTATAGTGTAAGAAAAAAGAATCATATATGCTTGTAGTTAATTTTTTTTTTTTGGATGATAATGGAATGGTGGCCCCGCCTGCGCTAGCGGGTTACGCTGGCGGGCACCAGTGGAGGATAAGATGAACATGAGGTCAGGTCAGTTAGCCCATCGTGACAAATTCACCATGAATTTATCACGATGGTTTCCAGGGGGAACCGCGTGGAGGTCAACCTGACATGGTATATTGCTAGCAATAAGATCAGCAGTCCACATTACTAACAATCTTCTTCCTCGAAATATACTTGTATTATAAAGATTATGTCACGAGATGACACCGAATAAGGATGTTTGAACTTTGACACAATAATAATAATCTCAGGACAATTCACACAGCGCCATCTAGTCCCAAGTTAAGCTAGCTAAAGCTTGTGTTATGGATACTAGACAACTGATACAAATTCATAGATATAATTTTTTTTCGTAAATACATACATATTATACATAGAAAACACCCAGACCGATACAAACATTCATACTCATAAATACAAATGTTTGTGCCGTGCGAGGAATCGACCCGCAACCATCGGACGTAAAGCGGTGTGCTAAACCACTAGACCACCGAGGTCGTCAATGAAAGTATCATTTTCATTTTGGGTTCATATTATAGAAATAGAAATAATCTTTATTCAAATAAACTCAATATAAGCACTTTTGAATATTTTTTATTCGACTGTCATTCGGAATGAAGATTTATTACACGCAAGAAACTTATGTGACAATAACAAGAAAGAGGCATTCGATAATCAACAAATTATCCTGATTCCATGTGAAGGGAATTGTCATAGAACGTTACGGTTACCTATCCTTACCAGTTGCGGTTAATCCTTAGAGATACCAAGCCGCAACCTTGAAATAATACTCTACTAATATATTATGTTCTAGCTATTACCGCTACTGGCCTTTTAGGACAAAAGATAGCATCCATTTTTATGAAGCATATATAGGATTTTTTTATTAAAATCTGTTCAACAGTTTAGTGAAAAGGTAACATACAGATAGAAAAACAGACACTCCCTATTAATAATCTAATTTTTTTTTAATTTTTTTTTATATTATATTTTTTTTTCCTTTCCATTCTTCCCGGATGTCAATTTACTTTTTTAGGGACTATTCTAATATATCTATATATATATATATACTAATTCCATAGTTTATATTTTCGGACTTATTGTAAAACTTTCTAATTTATTGCTATTTCATTTTAATTTACCTCTTTATATTTCCTTATCCTCTATTCCTATTTCTATTCTATTTGCTATTCTTACTTTACACTTGTTCTATTTTACCCGACTGTATAGTCACGTAAAATATGCTTACTTGCTATTGGTATTTGCTACTTTTTCTATTATTTCTCTGGTGTACTCTATAAATTTTTCCCTACTTTTCCGATTTCTTACTATTTCGTAGTAATTTTTCTCTACTATTACTATTTCTGTTTCTATTCTTTCCGCTCCAAATCTCTCAAAAATATCGCATATATAGGAAATTTTCATCCAAATCCGTTCAACAGTTTAGTGAAAAGGTAACATACAGATAGAAAAATAGTCACTCCTATTAATAATCTTATTTTAATATTAGAGGAGCTTCCTCCCGCGTACACTTAGGTTGTGGAATGAACTTCCTGCCGAGGTTTTCTCACGAGACTACAGCATGGGGTTTTTCAAGAAGGGTATATTAAGGTTTCTTAAGGGTCAGCAACGCGCACGTGACACCCCTGGTGCTTCAGGCGTCCATAGGCTACGGTAACCATTTACCATCAGATGGGCCGTATGCTTGTTTGCCATCATAGTAGTTACAAAAAAACTTGTCCATAATAGGAATTAGATAATGCCTAACAAACTAACGTCAAACGGGCTTCAGATATAGCACGCTTACTATATTAATACTCATCCGTCATACTCGTGAACGGATGCTACTTGTGGGGACTGGTCTGTTCAGGTTACGATCACTGACTATACTTTTTGTTTTTGCAATATGTTAGAATTCACATCATTATTGTAGAAAAATCCAATTATCCACAGGCGCTACTTGGAGTTTCCCTTGCGGTAGCCGGCTTCAAAGCCTCAGTCGTCCATCATAAATAGTGCTTCTTACAAATAGCATATGCTGGTCACTCTATTCTCCCAAATTTGAATTTAAATGAATGATGAATCTGTATTATTTTAAACATGTACAACATTTATTTGAAAAGAATACGAGTTAAGTTTCTTGTCATTTCTTCATATATCGAAATCATTCCGAACTGACGGTAGGTTTGACATATCATATGAGTCTGTAATAGACCTACATGAATAAAGATATTTTGTATTTTGAATAATAATAATCTTTAGTGACATATATATATATATATATATATATATATATTACTTAGACTTCGTATAACTTTAATGTTTTTTGAATACAAACTTTAATTGCAAATAATAAAGTGCAATTTTGTTTGTGTCGAAATAATAACAAACGTGAGGCGTTATTTGTTTGAGCAATTGCATCCAAAGTAAACTAAAATCCGATCGGGTTATAATATAAATATATACGGTTCAAAATCAAACCACGGCCGTTGCGACAAATTTTAACAAAAGACACACAAACCGACAATTCGTACAAACTTCGAACTAATGTGATCAACTTTTTGTATTTAAATTAGAAAATAGACTCATAGACTACTAGAAAATAGTCTATGAATAAAAAAAAATAATAGTAACAATGTTTGACTTGATATAGTTGTCATGGTTCAAATAAAGAATATCGTGTACAATAAAAATACATACATACATACATATAAATAAGATTGGAAAGTCTGTTTGTAATATTTAAATAACCGTTTTTTACTACATACATATGAATATAAATACGGTACATACACCGAAATAACATTTTTCACAATTTTTGTCTCTCTGTCTGTCTGTTTGTTCCGGCTAATCCCTGAAATGGCTGGACCGATTTTGACGGGACTTTCATTGATAGGTAGCTGATGTAATAAGGAGTAACTTAGGTTACTTTTATTTTAGAAAAATAAAGTTAAATTCCACGCGGACGATTATTAACGATTAAGGACTATAAGCAGCAATGAATCATATCATTTATATTTATGGTCATACAATACAAATCTAGCTGATATGATACACATAGAGTATACATTGACTCCGCTTATGTACACATATCTATTAACACATTCGCTTGGTGATAAAGACACACTAAACATTTGTATAAGGTTGAAACAAAAATGTCTACGTGTTATTCTGACGGTCTCGGTGGTCTAGCTGTTTAGCACAGCTCTTTACCGATTGATTGTCGCTGGTTCGATTCCTCGAACGGTTGCGCAACTCACACAACTTGCGGAACTCGAATGTTTTCACATTTGTATTCATGGGTATTGGGT